TGACAGATTGGTTACTTGTTGGAAAAAAAAAAAATCTTGCCGGATGAAATGCGTGAATGTAAAATTTACCTTAGGGAATTATGAAAAAAAAGCTGGGGTGAAGATGAGCTGGATGGCTTTGCAGCTTTGGTTGCTAGTGATGACAGCATTGGATACTTGTGAAATCTGCATCTGAAAATGTATTTGAGAAATCTTGTGGAATGTCTCAACAGGTAGTTCAACTTGACAATGTTTTATTTCGAGTGAGCATGGTTGAATTTCTATTTATAATGAAACTTGATTATTTGAAACATTTTGATTACCACCTGGAACAAAGATATTGATATTCTTATTAAGATTTTAAAGAACCTTTTTAAGAAAAAGGTTCTTTGACAAAACATGCGTGAATCGTCTCATTTTTCATAGTAAATCCAATTAATAGACTCCACTGATCATAGTTATTACTATTGACTTCCAATTTTTGCAAGTTCCTGCCTTCAACCTAGCTTTTTATACTACATATGATTTATCGAAGATGGTAAAGAGGAGCAAAACATGCTGACAGAATGCATGAAGGACCTCTGGAGCTTTGGACATTGAGGATGCAGAAATGAGACTCAATAATGTGAAGCGCTGCATTACTCAGTGCCCAAGATAGGAAGTCTTGTAGTTTCGAAATTGAGAGTGGATTAAGGTGCTGAAGTCTTGAGATTTGATCAGTGTAAGTCATTGATTCTTTGCGATAACGATAGGTACCTCTGACCTTCCTTTTTGTTTTTCTCGCTCTTTTTTTCTCTGCTCTTCCTTCATCTCTGTCTCATCCTCATCTCTCAGCTCCATAACATAATTCTCATATATCTTATTTCCTTCTGTTAAGAAAATTTGAAACTTCTCAAGTTGTTGCATTGTTCATTTTGTGATGTCACTATGGAGCCAGGGAAATTACCCATTGGTCTTATTTTCTTGTTTGTTTGCATAATACTTGTCTAGCTATATTTCTAGAAGAAATACAGATGTTGGAATGGCTGTTGTTAAAGGTGGTGATATTTACGGCAGAAAATTTTTGATACTGGAGATTTACTGGGGGGGAAAATGCATGAATATAGAACAACAATAAGTACAGTTCTTTTTATTTATAGAATATCAGAACAAAATCTATGAAATTCCTCTGTGTCATTTCTTTTAGATTAAGATTTTGTGTAAGAAAAAATATTTGTGTAATAATGGAACATTTTTGATAAGCTTTCTTTTTGGTATTTCAGGTGACATGGGAGGAGGATACGGGGGTCGGCCCAACCTCCTGTATGGCAAGCTGTGTTCGGAGGACCAGTTACAGCAGTTGGGGGTGTCATTGGATTATGTCCCACCGGAGGACCAGCTTTCCTCGGCTCATCGAACCTCGCAGCAACCTCCCGCCCATGGTAAGATGCATAACCCCTCACTTCTCTGATCAGTTTCTAATATGATTATCGTGTGGTTTTCAGGTTTATAACAGTTTTAGTGGATTATTGTTAGATAAATTTAGTAAGAAATCTAGTTCTGCTCAAGGTTAGCCTCATGATTTCTAAAATACGGTTGTCAAAAGTTGACAGATAGTTACTTCTTTTTGGTGCGGAAAGGACTGGGTATGAAAATGAAATGAAATTGGATTACCTGATCATGAAAAGATTACTGCTTGCCACTGTTTATATTAATCCACCATTTTGAAGAATAACAGTTGATTTTAAATATTTTAGTCAAGATGTTACCATCTCTTTGCTCTGTTCATTAGACTACTGTCCTGGATAGCATATTTCCCCACTCTTAACACTGTACACATGGCTACATGTATAGGCCACTATAGTTTTTTTGTGTACTTTTATGTGCATAGATGGCTCCACAAGTGCCCAGCCACCAATGTGACCTCACTTTGATTTCCCAATTCCTTGATTATTTTTATGCTATGGTTATTGATATTATTATTATTATTGAATTCAAGGTTATTATAAGATTATTAATGAAACTAATATCAATAAAAAAATCAAAAAAAGCAATCAAGTGAGATGGATAGAACTAGTAATTGACTCTTTGGTGACTAAGTACTTGCAGAGCTATATCTGTACTGGGTTTTTGTACTGTCCACTTCATTTTTTTTTTTGTTTGTTTCACAGATGGCTCCACAAGCGCTTAGCTGCCAAGGAGTCATAAGGCTGTAGTGCCTGTGCCTGATTATCCCATTTTCTAGAATTTACTCTCTTATTATTATTATCAACAATATTATTTTTGTTGAAATACTATTGATAATGAACATTGTAAGATGATTAAAAAAGAATCTTTCCAAAAGCAAGCATATTAAAGAGGTGAGGGAACATCCATTTTTTTTTATTATTTTCATGAGTGTACGAACCTGTAGGGAGGGTGTTCATCTTTTAAATCATAAAAATAATGTTTGGGACTAATTTGGATTTGGATGTCCTATGGCAGAAATCATCATTTTTACCGTTTTCCTCTTTACACTTTGGAGGTGGGGAGCGGGTGTTGGGAAAAGAATACTTTTTGTACGCTTATGAAAAAATGGATGACCCTTAAGATGAGGAGGACTAATAATTTGTTTCCTAGAGTGTAAGCTCATGTGGAGCCATCTCTGTGTAACCATAATTGATAAACTAAAATTTAGTGGACATGGCATATAAATTTGCCATATGTGGCAATTTAGTCATTAAACCAAAATCACATGGCATGAATACCAAGTCATTCTAGGTAGTATAAGGGGTTAATTAAAAATGAGAAATTGATTGTGACTGTAAAGAGGAAATTTTAATAATCTTGATAGTAGATGTGGAGAATGAAAAAGATTATTCTATTTTATATTGTGTTTTATTAAAAGGCATAGTCACATGTGATAGTTTCACATTTCATTGACAACATGCATACAAGGCCCACCATTTCCATGTACACACAGCTAGAGGACTACGTTTGGATATGGTTATAGTATAGCATGTAGTACGTGGCCTGCAAATTGTATATTGTTGCTTATTGTTGCTTTATCATGATATTTGTTAAAGATCATATTTTGCAGTTATATTTACTTCTTTTGTACAATTTGTTATCTATCAATTGAACATTTAGAAATATAACAAACAAGACAGAGTGAGTGAGGATGGGCACACGGATCCCCAGTCAGGTCATGAATCACAGTAGGTTTGAATATGTTGCAAACAGTAATAAACCTCTATAGTCCTGTAGATTTATTTTACCAATATGATTGATATGATGAATGATGTGAGAAGTCATTTGCAATTAGAGTACAATCTGCTTCATAAATGATATTGTGTTGCATACTGTGGAAAGGCATATGTCGCACACCTAATATTTTCAGTCGGGTTACGCATTTTTCCAAACAACACTGTGGCTATGCTTTTAACTAGTTATTGCATATCAAAATATTTGCCATAGCATCAGCATCCTTGGAGTGTATGAATGTTAATGGAGATTTGCCAGTAATAGAATGCCCATGTGACAATACCTGAACAGAGATACAGTGTGCTTTGTCTTTTAGTTTATCTGTTTGTGTCTGTCTCATATGCTTTGTGATTATTTGTCACTAGAAAGAACGAGGTTATGGTTGCCACTTTTAATAACTTGTACTTTCTGAGGATTATTTGTAGTTCCCATCTTTTTGTTTAATTTTTAATGTAGAAAAGTTTGTTCTGCCTTTTGTCCAACTTGTGATCCAGTGTTGGTAGAGGCATCGAGAGTAGGGATATACTATATAGCTCCAACAACAATTTGATATGGCAAACCTGACTTAAGAATGTGTTTCCCAGCAAATAATGGATGCTTATTTGTGTGTATGGAAGTGTCACTGTATAGGAGGTTAGTGACCTTGGGTAATTTCATGAAATGTCAAGGAAAACAAGTTCATCTCATTAATATTGTGACATGATTTAGATTACTTACTTCAGGATTGTTGTTGATAGCTTTGTACTTATTATTACTCATGCACCAAAGATACATATTCATGAGTAGATACATGGCAGTAAAGCCTCATATTTGTCAAATCATTGGTACTGGTGGCAGCAGTCTCTCCATACGGTTTTGGTATTTATAACTTCCTGTATATCATTCTTAGATGTGGCATATACCTAAAGGAGAGCAAATTAAATAGTTTGTTTAGTCTTCATCTTTTATTCAAGGATAATGAGAAGATTATGAAATGGTTCAAGTGCCTTAATCATCCCTTCTTTCCCTTTAACTTTGCCGCTTACTTCTTTTTACTTGAACCTTTACTTTTTATTCATCTCACCATTGTCAGTCAGTAGTTCACCTCAGCTCTCCTTCATACACTCCTTTGGTGCCATGATACGAATTTTCACACAGCCAGTTGATAGGATAAATAGTAGAATTACTGCTCATCAAGAATAGATAGGATGGGATTGGTATATGCATGTGTGGTGTTGTGAATTGTTAGGTCTTTAGGCAGATGGGGAAACTCAAATTTGATTGTAGGGATAGCACAGTCACTGAATGTAAAATTTGGTCACAAGTGATAAATCCTAGCAACTGGTTAAGGTTGCCAAATAGAAACATGTATGCTAAAAGTGAGGCTTTACTATATTGGTTTAAGTATTTCATGCAAATCATCTTTAGCCGTTTGTATTGACTTTTTGTAATGTTATAAAGCTTTTGTTATCCACTATAGCTTGTGGCAAGTAGTCCCCACACAATCATCATTATAATCTTTTTAACTCGTACCCAACGGGTGGCATGTACGTACATGCCGTGGCTGTTGTGGACTGAGAAACTGATGGCATTGTATCATGCCCATTCCCGTGCCACTGGCTCGTCAGACGAGTTTTTTCTCCGATAGTAGCGGCTTCATTTATATGGTAAAGATTTTAGGCAATGGCACTTATAATGAAGGTAAACCTTCAAAATTATAATATTTTTTATAAATTATAGCAAAATAAAAGCTTTTAGGTGCCAAATGTCACTTGCAAACTACCGATGGAGCCTGGTGCAAACAAGGGAAACTGCCGATGCGTGCCAACAATCCCGTTCTTATGTCCGCTTGCCAAACATTTTTACCCATCAGCACTGGGTTAATATTCATATTAATGTTGATGGAATTAACTTGTTTGTATTTGTTTGTTAACTGGATGCCACTGTTAGTTTGTTAATTGTCTTTACTCATAGATGGTTCTACAAGTATTAATGTCACCAATGAGCTAGTCACAAGTACCACCTATCTCACCTGTTTACATTTTCCTTGATTTTTAGAATTATTTCCTGGTATCTTATATCGTTGTTGGTGTCGTTAGTAAATATGATGTAATTTAACAGGAGCATTCATATCTGTTTAGTTTTGTTAGTCTATTATAGCATGTTTTTCTAAAGTGTGGGAGCTGTAACTGCATATTTCGTATCGTGAGAAGGATAAGGGTGAAATCAGGTGATCAAAGGTCTACGTTGAGTGGGAGGTGAACATTTTCGTACATGGGTGATTTGATAAACTAAGGTGAAGGATAATTTTTAAAAGAAAGGAAGTGGGTGATAAGTTTTTTTTATTATTGCAACACTGATGCCATTGCAAATTTAGTAAATTGTTATCAGAGTTCATTTGGACATCTCATTGGTGTGCTGTGGAAATATAGTTGCTTCTGGTAATTATTACAATACAAACAGTGTATGAATATACACCCATTACTTGTGGCTTGACTTAATACACAAATCAATATCTCGGATAGAATATTAATTGTCCAAAGTTGATAAATTTTCAAAGGAGATAGGAACCATATAATCAAGTATTTTTGAACTACTACATAATAGGAATTTCAGTGAAACCATATATATATATATCTTACCATGATCTTATATAAAGGTCTGTTTTAATTTTTTTTTTTTTCTATATATTATCCTAAGCCGCCGGGTATGGCATGTACGTACATGCCATTGCCCATCGTGTGTTGATTTTAGTAATTGCGTTTACATATAGATGGCTCCACAAGTACTAAGTCACCTATGAGTCAATTACACGAACTACGTCTCACCTGTTTACCCTTTTCCTTGATTTTCGATAATATTTTCCAATATTTAATACTGCTGTTAGTAACGTCACTAACAATATAGTATTTATAATGTTTATAACAAAAATAGCTGTGTCAATATTGATAGCATTAATAAAAAAAAAGTGTTTTCCCACTTTTTCAAGGAAAAGTGAGGTCGCAAGATCTAATTGACTCCTTTGTGGCTAAGCATTGGCAGAGCCATCTATGCACAGAAACATTTGACCAAGCATTGCCAAAGGGAACGCACCATTTTCCCGTCGACATTGGGTTAATGAAGAAAACAAGATTTGAATTACAATGTAGATACCTTTAATGTTAACATTTGTATATGCTAAAGATTCTCTTGTTTTATTACTTTGTTGCTATAATGATTATTACCATTGCAGTTTTATGACCATTTCAGGTAGGTATAAATATTACACAATTTGTGGAAGAGCATTTATTTTGTATTTTCATAGAGTTCTGATCACTGTATTATTCTATTATCAGGTTCGGTAGGTGGGAGCCAGGCAGCAGTGAGTGGTGGGGGTGCCTACAAGTCAGTACCACTACAAGCACTCCACCGATCCCCAGCTGAGCGGAGATACCGAGACCCAGCACAGGGCCCTCTACGGAAACTCTCTGTCGATCTCATCAAAACTTACAAGCACATAAATGAGGTAAGTAGGAAAGGTCATTGGTTGGGAGGGGCTTTTTCATAGTAAAAGTGGACATTGGATTGAATTCAGCATATCATTTG